CTGGGAGTTGAAGTCCACACGTCCTTCCAGCAGCCGAGGTTGAAGGTCTCTGTAACCATAAGCAATGAAGTCAAAAATAAAATTCAGGGTTGTTGTTTTTTCCCCAACTGACGGCCGTTTGCGATGGATCCGGGGAAGAAGGGGCACGGGGGCCAAGCTCTGATTTCCCACAAGCCCCCTTTCTCGAACACGAAGCAGGGCAATCCCCCTCCAGGGCTCATGTTGTCAGGATGCAGCGGAGGGAACCGATGGGGGGGGGGAAAGCCGCAAGCAAAACGATGAACAGAGCATGGAGAAGCCGGTGGATCTCGGTGTTACCGGCACGTGGCAAACCATGACTCTCATTTGCAGCGGGCAAGAGGGCGGATTCTAAATGGTTAGGCCAAGACTGAAGAGCCTCGCGAGGCACAAATATTTATTTATTTACTGCCTGCATCGGAGCGGGGAGGCTCGGCGGTAAATCGAGCATCGGACGGGAGCATCTCCCCTCTTCAAAGATAATTTTTTTGGGGGCAGAGCAATTTTGCCAAACTTGGCGCCGAGTTCATGAGCCAGAGCTTGCTGCCCACTGCAGTGTAACTCCCTCGTCCAGCTCTCTGGAGGAGAACAAGCCTACCCAGGAGATGATTTAATTACAGGTAGTCTGTCAACGAAAAAGATGCTCCTTTGGTCTTTTCAGCTGCCAGAAAAAGGAAGTGGGGTAAAACAGTGCATTCCTTAAGTGCCTAGATAATCACCCGGGCAGCCCAAAGTTGTCGGAGTGCAAGGATATTACTGGAGAGCACGATTGATGACTCTTGGCTATGGATGTGTCCCATTGGAGAATATACATCCAGAGGGTGGGGGGAAGACCAGGGTCAAGGGGGAAATGAATGAGGTATTTTAGCATCAGCAGCATCCAGCTAACGCCGACATGGCCACTCCTAATAAATCAATGTTCTTTTCTCTGAGATGCAGCTAGAGACTTATGATTTGAATGGGGGTGGATTGGTTGGAGTCCTGACTTAGTCCTCATCTTACGACTGTTGGCTTAGTGGCCATTCGAAGTTACAACGGGCACTGAAAAAAAAGTGACTTAGGACCGTGTTTCAGTTTTACGACCATTGCAGTGTCTCCGGGGTCACACGATCCACTTTGGTGACCTCTGACCGAGAAAGCCAGATTGCTTCACAACCGTGTGACTAATGTAACACCTGCAGTGATTCCCTTAATCACTGCGGCAAGACAGGTAACACACACGGGGCAAAACCCAACCCATGTCTCAGTTAGCAGCAGAAATTTTGGGCTCCACTGTGGCTGTAAGTTGTAAAAAAAAAAACACATTAAGAAAAATGTATAACTCTAACCTGCCCGGAAGCCCCAGAAATCGCACTGCGATTAATCCCAATTATTGTTATTATTATTATTGTTATTATCATATACTGTACTCATTAAACATGAAACACAGTCAACTGAGCATTCAAAAATGCATCACAAATACCATTGACTGGTGCTAATGGTTGATACGGGTGTCATGCCCCCTGTGGAGACTGACTCTGAGGGAGAGGAGGAACAGCCGACAGGGAGTGGGAGTGTGGCTCCGGAGGTTATGGAGGAGGCTGAGGAAGGGCAGAGGCTAGCTGGGCAGTCAGAGGAGGACCCAGGCCCATCCCCTCTCCATCCTAGGGCACCCAGGGAGGAGAGGATAAAGGAGAGACGTGGTCTACTGGGGAGGAGAGGGCCTTGATCCTCTTCATGGGCTGCAGCTGTGACAACTGGATAAGAGGACGGATGTGCGTATGGGCTAATGCTGGAAACAAAGTGTGGAAATATCTCTAGTTTATGGTTAATCTCTGAGTTTGGTGTCTTCCCCAGTGTGTGTTCTGATATCCGTGGATGTTTTCAAGCCCTTATCTTTCCTGGTTTGTGTTGTTTTTTACTCTTTATAATTTAAACGGCATTTTTAGTTTAAACGGCATTTCTTCCTTCTTGTAACTGTTTGTGTGGGAGTTTTTTGTCTCCAGTCAAAGATATTTGGAGCTTGGAAGCAAAGTGAAGGAATAAAAGGGGCTTCACCTGTTTTTTGTGACTGTGTTTATTTTGTGTCCCACCCTGGGACATCGCACAGGTTGCTGCCAGCATTCTGGGCATCAACCAAGTAACAACAATAACAACAACAAGAACAATATTCACCCAAGCCTATCACTCTGCCAAATGGCCATTTTTTGCTTCTCCCATCTTCTGGACACCAGCAAAGAGAGTTTCACTGCAGTGGCCATTCTGCCTCTTTAATGGCATATTCGCTTTTTATTTCCCCGTTCGCCAGAGTTGCTTCGGTTTTCCAATGTTTGTGATTTTTTTTTTAAATCGCAAGGCAACCCAGCTCACGCCCTGGGGTGGGCAAAAGGAAGCTCCTTCAGGATTTGGGGGGGGGGGGGGTGGCTTTTTGCAACCTCCCAGGGTTTGCTGAGAGCCGAACTGGATCTTGGAGCTAAGCCCACGTCCTCCCCTTGCAACGTTGCAAACGTGTCAGTGGCTGTGCCGTCCGTCCACACAGCATCCATGGGACTTACAATATATTCCCTAGCCTCCACGGCATAGGTGGCTCTGCCTAAGCGTTTCTTCATGTGTTCTTTGTCAAAGTACAAAGACTGAGACTGTTGCTGGGTCAGCAAAAGAAAATACAGGTGTTAAAAGAAAGGAGGAGGAAGAGGAGGAGGAGGAGGAAGAACGGGGAAAAAAATTAAAATGAAAGAGAGCTGCATTTATTCCTCTTACAGCAATAAAGGTTACCTCTAGCTGGAGCGTGATGAAAACAAAACAAAACAAAAAAAAACAAGGATAATTTGAACTGCGAGACGGTTAACCAGGAATCACCTAATTTACTGTAGTCCTCGGGGTTATGACCAGGAATCAGGACACCCAGAGCTAAGCAGTACAGTTGTTAAGTGAGTCATGCCTGACTGCGGACAATCGGGTTGCCTTAATGACTGTGGGCTCCCTTAACGGCGGTGTGAATTCACTTAATGTCCGTGGCATTGGCTGAACGACCATGCCCCCCCCAAAAGGACATAAAATCGGATTGGTCACAGGATGACTCAATTAGTGACACAGGATGGGCTCAATTAGGGTCGTAACTTGAAGACTACCAGTATCGGTCCTCCAGGTCTCAGAAAAGAGCTAAGAAAGAGAGAGGGGACACAGAGACACCCCTTCCCCCATTGAGCATGAGAAGCCTTTAATATGAGAAGCATCTCCTTTGGATGCAAATTCTGAGCAGATATCTTGATAATCCAAGTGTCAACTCATAAAACATGTTGTATGCACGTTTTACAGTTGACAACAGAAAGAAGTGGGGGGAGTTTGAAAGAGCGGGCGGCAGTGTGGAATCGAAAGTACATTCCATTCATGTTTTCTTCAGAGACTGATTAGACGACTGAAGCTTCGGCCACGCAAAAATCTAACTGGAGAGCATGATTGATGACTCTTGGCTATGGATGTGTTTCGTTGGATGATGCACCCAGAGGGGTGGGGGGAAAAGCAGGAACAGGGGTGACAGTGAATTACGTATCTCAGAGTTGGCTACACCCAGGTATATGCCAGATGTAGAATGCTACCTTCAAATAAATATTTTTTAGTTTTGGGAGTGTGGCTCGAGGCTCGTGATTTAATTGGAGTAACTGCCAAAATCCTGACACCAAGGAGGAGTGGGCAGGACAGAGAAAACAGCTATCCCAGGGGGGGAAAAAAATCTAGCTAAAAAAATTAACTAACTAAATACGAAACAGTCACTAACCCTGATTCCATGCAATGCTTCTAATCTATTATACCGATGGTTTAAACAGAACAAGGACAAATGCATCATGGGTTTGATCAACAAACTGTAATTGAAGAACGGCATTGCACATTAAACTGAATTTTGTAAACTTCCCCACATTGGCTTAGATGACTTTAGAAAACCCACTTGGATGGCTGTCATCATAAAAGCACCAAAATGCTTCATTTAGTGAATTTTCATGATTGCTTCCATGGCTTGAGTTATCTTTTATTAGGGGCTGAATGTCTTATTCCAAGCCAGAAAAACTGAATAATTTATCCAGTCACAGGAAAATCACAAGTGTTTCCCCCACCCCCATCCCAACAAGTAATAATAATAATTTAACACTCCTTGCATTAAGAAAACTAGCCTGGCAGTTTGTTCCTTGACAGGCTAATTTTTTAGAGGCACGAAGTTTCTTAAGAGTTTTGGAGAGATTGTTTGACACTGAATTATAATCCATCCAATTTAAAAATGGCAGCTTTCAATAGCCCATCCTGCGAAACACCAGCTAGTTGCTTAATCCCAAATAAATGAAATCCACATTAAATTTTCCAGCTTGGGTGGGGTTCCAGAGGGAGTGAACATCCAAACGTGAAAAACAGCCCTTGCTCCACACAGTTTATTTCACTTTTCTTTCTAAATAATGCCAACCACCTACCATGCTTGGGCTGCAGAGAAAAACAATCACACGCTATTAATCTGCAAGCAAACCAGAGCTGAAATAATACTAAAATCAACATCCCCCAAAAGCTGAAAAAAAGGAAGAAATTAATTAATTTTTTTTTTTTTTAGGCATTGTGGCAGGCGGATTGGAGAAAGTATTGAACTTGGACGAATCACAATGAGATTGTGCACCCACAATGCACAACATCGAGAAAAGAATCAAAAGTAAAACATGGCCAATGATTAAAAACACATTTTCTGGATGCAAAAGAGGTAAGAGATAATTAAATGGTAAGGGAAGAGGAGTCAATAACATCCAACGGAACGGAAACCACAAAGATTCAAATGAAAATCCGCTGAACAAGAATTTGCGACAAATTGCAATAAGCACCATTTTCAGTGTTGGTGCAACTTTGGTCACTAAATGAACGGTCGTAAGTCCAGGACTACCCTGACTCTAGAGACACTGCTCAGATTTGACTGTTTGGATGGCCAAAGGGAAGTTCCTCCTTAGTTCTAGGTCGCTTCTCTCCTTGTTTAGCTTCCATCCATTGCTTCTTGTCCCGCCTTCTGGTGCTTTGGAGAATAGATTGACTCCCTCTTCTTTGGGGACAGCCCCACAAATATTGGAAGACTGCTTATCACATCACCCCAGGTCCGTCTTTTCTCTAAACTAGACCAGCAACCGTTCCAGCAACTGTTCTTTATAGGTTTTAGCCTCCAGATGTCTAATAATCCTTGTTGTTCTTCTCTGCACTCTTTCTAGAGTCTCAACATCTTTTCTTCTATGGTGTGTGACCACACCTGGACGTAGGATTCCAGGTGTGGCTCCACCAGGGCAGTTCAAAGCAGTCCTACCGTTTCCCGTGTACAAAGCTCTGTGTGACTTTTTTGGGTGTGGTTTCACCGTGGGGGTTTTTGACTCCCGTGTCAAATTCTAATTCTCGGCATCTCATCACCGAGCTACGGGTCTGACACATACACACTACAACCCTCTACAAGGAAGGAAGGAAGGAAGGAAGGAAGGAAGGAAGGAGGTGGACGTAACCCTCGGATTTACCCAAACGTCACAACAGAACGTGCAATGGAAGAAGAGAGGAAAGCCGACAGACACACCCAGAGAACTTACCCCGCGCTTTAGGCTCCTGAAGCAGTGGATTTTGGGCTTGGAGGTCATGAACTCGTTGAAGCGATGGGAGAGGGGTTCCTTTGGCTGCTTGGGGGACTGAGGGCCATTTGGAAGAGCAGAAGGCGAGGCAGAGGAAGGGGGCAGAGGAGGAGGCTGATAGGGGGGTGTTAAAAGGGACATAAGCTACGTATAAGAGATGGAGAAGTGATAGAATTAAAAAAGAAAACAAAACAACAACAACACAATGAAATCAAAAGGTTCAAAAAAAAACCAAACCTGGAACCAAATAAATAAATAAGCACAGAGCACGCACACGCACACACACGCACACACGCACACACACAAAGGCCAAACAAATTTACAAGCACCAAAACCAAAACAGATAAGGGAAGGAAAAACAAAAACCCAAAACCTGCTGAAATCAAATTCCTTCCAAGAAAAGCCATGAAGGTAAAAGCAAAGGAAAGCAAATAATAAAATAAAATAAAATAAAATTGCTGACGTCATGGGGTTTGTTTTTGTTTTTTTAAAATCAGGAAAGCGGAGCAGAAAGTGGCTTGGGGGCAGGAAAAGAGAGAAAGAAAACGAGAGGAGGGGGAAGTTTGGCGTCTTGAATTGGAAAGAAATATTTTCCCAAAGGGAAGCATGATCAAAAAGCAGGTGTTTTTTTTTAAAGTAAGTGGTTAAGATGCTAGGATTGCTTGCCATGCTGCATGCAGAAGCTAAGGTGGAGCTAGAAAGAGGGCGATTCCCAACCTCCATTCCCAAGTAGGGTGTTAAATAAATGGGAAAGTATGGATAGAAGAGAATATTGGTAGCTCAGGGTTGAACTGTGGGGGCCTTGGCACTCTCTGAGCGTGGTGGTTTTCTCGCAGACATTTCTTAACCCAACTAGGTAACGTCGTCAGTGCTAGAAGGGAGTGTGGCTTTTTTTCTGCATACAGAAACTTTGAGTGGCTTGCTCCTTGTTTATATACAGTAGCTGTGAGCTTGGTTGTTTTCTTGCAGACATTTTATTACCCAACTAGGTAACAACGTCAGTGCAAGTGAGTGTGGCTTGTTCCTTGTGTCCCATAGTAGAGCTTGGTGGTTTGCTTGCAGGCGTTTCATTTACCCAACTAGGTAACATCAGGTTAGAATGCAGCATTGCAGGCTAATTCTGCCGACTGCCGACTGTCAGCAGTTCGATCCTGAACGGCTCAAGGTTGACTCAGCCTTCCATCCTTCCAAGGTTGGTAAAATGAGGACCCAGATTGTTGGGGGAAAGAGGCTGACTCTGTAAACCGCTTAGAGAGAGAGGGCTGTAAAAGCACTATAAAGTGGTATATAAGTGCTATTGCTATTGCGATCAACAGCGTTAGAATGTAGCACTGGGTACAAGCTAGCTCCTTTCTAGCACTGATGATGTTGCCCAGTAGGGTAATGAAATGTCCACAAGAAAACAACCAAGCTCTGAATTACTGAATTTAGACAGGGACTGAGTCGCAGTCATGGCACTGAAGATGTTGCCTAGTTGGGTCATGAAAGCTCTTGAAGAAGTCCATCCCCAGATGAGTGAATGTCAACTTCCCAAATCCCCCAGTGAAGACACCATTGTAGGAAGTTCTGGGATTTGGAAAAGATGGACTTCAGACGGTGGACTTCAGCTCCCAGATTTTTCCAACCAACATTTGGTCTTTGTTGAGAATTCCGGGATGGTCCTGCAGAACGACAGACTTCCAACAACCGGAATTCTCTTGCCTGTTTCATTGTGGCCAAGAATTATGAGAGCGGAATATCCCTGTATCAATTAAAGGAAACCCACCAGTGGACATCGAAGAACGAGGTGCAACCACGAACATCAATAAATGATGGTCCAGTGACATGTGGGGAGGACCAATGGTCCAAACTCATCCTACACCCAACCCGTAGGCTGATCATGTGGAAGGCAAAGAAGGAGGGATAAACCAACATCTGCAGAAGTGAGGCCAACCCAACACAAGATGAAGCACCTAGGAGCATGCCTTGTTCATGCTTTGATCATGCTGGTGGTGAAAAGGAGGCGCTGATGCACGTGAAGAGGGTTAGGTAGGCCTGCTCATCCCAAACATTTGCTACCCTGCCCCAAAACGCTTGTCAAGAAGTTACCCCTAGATATCGTCCCCACCGCAAATGAGGCACGAAAGCTGAGCTAAACTTCAAAAGAATTTGGTCTTCCTTCTTGCTTTTCCCATCTCAATACCATTTTTCAAGTGGCCACAGACAAGGGAAAAAGTCACACGTGGGGTTGAAGGACCCATGGTTGTGGTCCATCAGTATCTGGTTTCCTCCTCTGTGAGGGGCCAACCGCCTCCCCCAAAAACCTGATCTGGACAGCGGAGCAAATGTTTAGCCGAAAGATTGATCATGCGGGTTGAGGAAATAAATCGCATTTTCCTAGTTGGAAGGATGAAGTTCTAATGAAGATGTTTAGGTCTTCCAGCCCAATTTAACAAGGGAGAAATTGGCTTTCTTGTTTCCCTAATGATTGGATTAGCTGGAAAGGGTCGAGCAATGGAACCAGAGAAGCAACTGAGGCAGGCATGGAAAAAAAAAAAAAGAAGGGACAGCAATTATTTAGAATTGAGCAGGAAAGTCTGAAAAAAAAAATACAAGTAATCCTTGACTTACAACAGATCATTTAATGAAAGTCAACAGTCAACTGTACCACAGTCGAAGTTACAGCACTAAAAAGGGATTTATCCCTTTTTAAAAACAGTCGTGTTTTTCATGCTTATAAGCATGGTCCTGGGATCAAAATTTGGATGCTTGGCAACTGGCTTGTATTTATGACGGCTGCAATGTCCCGTGGTTGTGTGATTCCCTTTTGTGACCCTCTGACTAGCACAGTCAACGGGGAAGCCAAATTCACTTAACAACCACGTTAATAAGTTAACAAACAGCAGTGATTCCTTGAACGCCTCTGGCTGTAAAATGGAGCAAAGTTCACTTCACTTAGCAATGGGAATTTTGGGTTCAATTGTGGTTGTAAGTCAAGGACTACCTGTAACCACCATGGCGAAGATACAACTGAAACAGAGCCAAAACTAACTTTAAACCAATTCAAATCAATTTGGCATTAAAAGCTAAACATAAATTATAATGAAAAGAACACCATAATTTCAAAGGAAAATGCATCGGAAAATTAAAAAAAACAAAAAACTTTGCCAATGAAAAGAAAATCTGTTACATTAAATTTCAAACAGGACCATCAGCTATTAGTTCTTAGAAACTGATTTCTATTTAAAATTAAAAAAAAAAAAGAAAAAAAGAAGAAGAGAGAAAGAGAGAAAAAGAGAAGAAAAAATACACTTCACTGCTGGGATTTCAAAGAAAAAAACTCACAAGTAGCAAAACTACTGTACAAAAAAGTGTGAACAACTATAGGCCAAAGTGTGCACTCGGGGAGGAAAAAAAAAAAGGTGTAATATCTACCTTGCTTTTTTTCATAAATGGCCATAATTTGCCCTTGGACTTGGTGGAAAATCTGGATTCGGACTTGGTCTCTTTGGAGTTAGAGAGACTCGATTCGGAAACGGCTCGCTTGATCGGCTGGGTGAAGTCTTCAAAATCGACATCTCCCGGAGGTTCGAAGCCCGATTTGAAGGCATCGATCACGAGCTGAGAATCCTGGATGGGACACACAGAAAACACAGGGTCATAAATTGAGGACCTTGAACCACAAGTACTTGGAAGGAACCAGCAAAGGATGCGAACTATCAACTAAGAAAGTCCCCGGAGAGTCTTACTCAATCCTGGTCAAAGGTGCTTTTTTCAAAAGGCAACCGGACTTCCTTGCTTTTATTTTTTTCCTTGAAGAGGTTTCGCTTCTCGTCTGAGAAGCTTCTTCAGTTCTCGCAGCAGGTTTCAGGATTTATCAGCTAAGAAAATGTCCCAGAATTCGGTCGAGCGTGGGAAAATTGGGAAAGCCGGGCAGTTCAAATGAATCTAAAGGTTGATGGCAAGATTAAGCCCTCGGCAGGAATCTTAACTACAGATACCTAGTCCTCAACTTACGACCACAACGGAGCCAGCTTTTCTGTTGCAAAGCGAACACTTTTCATTCCTTTCTAAATCACCTAGGTGGAAGAGAGCCGATTGCTCCCCACCTTGGAAGAAGCAAGGCACACAACGTTGTTTGCAAAGGACATGCGGATGTGTTCCCAACTTGGTAACGCTTCCAAAACTTGTCCAGGAAGAGGAAATTAAGAATGGAAAAGCTCCAAACTGGAACAATGAAAGCAAAGGAAGCGACATCCTGTATGTTCTACCTCTTCTTTTTCCAATTTTATTTGATATTTTATTTTTTGAACCCTTTGCTTTATCTTCTCGAAGCCATGCCACATCCCGTGCCCTAACATCCTAACGCTGCAAACATGACAGGAAACAGGAAATCTGATACATCCAGAGTTAATGCACCGCTCTCGGCTTTCTGAATTTGCACGGTTCAAATTTGTAATCTCCATCCCTCAAAAGGGTGGCTACCCCTGGCTTGCAGGAGAGGGCATGCGAGCAGGCCTCCAACTTACGACCAACAAGTAAGACCAGAACTTCCACTGCTGAGCAAAACGGCCGTTAAGTGAATTGCACTTGATTGCATGAAATTTTTTTTTGGGGGGGGGGGACCACAGTGGTTGAGCAAAGCACTGCAATTGTGAAATGAATCTGGCTTCCTCCATAAACTCTGCTTGTCAGAATGCCGGCTGGGAAGGTCTTAAATGGCGATCACACAACCCTGGGGTATTGTAACCGTCATAAATGTGAACCTGTTGCCCAACAGCCGAATTTTGATCATGCGGCTGTGCAGACGTTGTCACAAGTGCGAGGACCGGTTATAAGTCACTTCTTCCACTGCCTGTGTAACTGAACGGTCCCTAAACTAACAGTTATAAGTAGAGGATGTCGTGTAAGTGAAAGGGGATAACAGATGCATTGCCTTAACCATAAAGACCTGCAAGGAAAGAACCAAGTCCGATTCAGTTTCAAAACAAACATGGTTTACACCTGAGGATGAACTGGGTTAAGTATCAACCTTCCTCTGAAACCCAGGTTCGATGCCAGGTCTTGAAGGAAGCTGCCCACTTACGTGCTTCGGATCAATGGAATCTACTGCTTTGGTGATCTCATCCAGGCACTTCCCGATGATGGGTGTCACCTGGCGATCCACCTCGGCAAACGTTTTCATGGATTCTCCTATTCTGATGATCCGTCTCTCTTCCATGTCTTGGATTTTCTGGAAAGAGGAAGGAGCCACAGGTTAAAAAATCTCCCAGGGATCCTCTTCCCCGTCCTTGCAGCCACCTCATTAAGTTAGGTCTACACCTGCTAGGAGACAACTCAAAGCGAAGGGAAGGAAAATTTATCCTAGAGAGACTGGCATTTACAAAGATAAAATTTACAAGGGACCAAGAAAAATTGTAAAATGGTAAGCTGCCCAGAATCACTGACTGAGACGGGCAGCTACAAAACTTGAATAAATTTAAAAATAAATAAACAGAATACCCCCAAAATACTCCAATTAGAACCCAGCTCAGAAAGCCAGACAAGGAATAATGGATGGAAACTGAACAAGGAGAGATTTAACCTGCAAATAAGGAGAAACTTTCTGACGGTGAGAACAATCGACCCGTGGAACAGAAGTTGCCCTCGGAAGTTGTGGGAGCACCATCACTTGAGACTTTCAAGAAGAGATTGGACTGCCATTTGTCAGAAATGGTGTAGGGTTTCCCGCTTGGGCGGGGGGTTGGACTAGATGACCTACAAGGTCCCTTCCAACTCTGATTATCTGTTAAAATCTGTTATCCAGGAAGGTTAAACAGCAAAAATGAAGCTGAAACTTTCGTTCCCAAGGCAACGACCTATAAAACCCACCCCATGCACACTTCCTGCTTTTCCTAATTTCCTTCTGCAACTGGTTAGTGAAAGGCTGAGAACAATTCCTGGAAAAAACCCCACGCAGGGAGATTATTTTTCAAAATTAGAAGCTGCTCACTCCAAATTCTTCTTTTGACAGGTTTGGGAATTTTCCGTTCCGCTTTTGGCACAGAGGGGAACGGCTGTGCTGAGTCTTTAAGGAGGCTATGAAGATGACCAAAAAAAGAAGAACTTAGAAGCCAAGATAGGAGATACCAGATGATTACAGATATTCGCTTGTTTGGGACATTTGAAAGTTTCAGCGTGTGTCTTCTCCTGTGCTTTGGAAACAAACACTACAGGAAATCCCTCGACTTACGAACAACCAAGTTATTAACAATGGTAGTGATCCACTTAACCACCGTGGCAGGGGAGGTTGTAAAATGGGGCAAAGTTCACTTTTAACAACTGCCTCCCTTAGCCACAGAACCCGTTGGGCTGAATGGAGGTCGTATGAGTCGAGGACTGTATTTCTTTTTGCTGCAAAAAAATAATAATTTGGAGGCCCCAATGGTGAGAGGTTGCAATTGGGCCAAGGAGGAGCCTCACCTGAAAAATATTGGGGATGTGCGTGTGGTAATGTTCCCGTTGCTCGTGGTTGAACTTCTGTAACGTGGACAGATACTCCCCTTTGCTGTCTTCGGCCATCTGGTGACGGAGCTGAGCTTGCTGACGTGCCTGGAGGAGAAATGGAAAATGTGACAACCTTTCGACGAATGGGATACAGGGCAGATGCTTCCGGGGAGATTTTGCACCCCTTTCCAAGACCGCTCCCATGACTTCTGTTCCAAAGCAGCTTGGGAAATAAGGGAAGGATCCCAAAAGACCCCCAGAACGAAGCAGAAACTGGCTAAGAAAAAAGGAAAGAGAGTCAGTTCGGTGGAGAGGTTAAAATGTTGGACTAGGAACCAGGAGGCTGGGAGTTCTAGTCCCGCCTTAGCCATGAAAGCTAGCTGGGTGACTTTGGGTCAATAACCAGAAGATGGTGAGTTCTAGTCCTGCCTTAGACTTGACTGCTAGCTGGGTGACTTTGGGTCAATAACCAGGAGATGGTGAGTTCTAGTCCTGCTTTAGGCATTGAATCAAATTGCTTGACTTTGAACCAATCGCCGGGAGATGGTGAGTTCTAGTCCTGCTTTAAGCATTGAAGGCAGCCCGATGACTTTGGGCTAGTCTCTCTTTCTCTCTCTCCCCGTCCCAACCCACCTCGAAGGGTTGTTGTCGTGTGGAAAAGAAGAGCAGAAAGGATGATTAATACGCTCAGAACCTTGAGTTTTGGGCAGGATTAAAACAAAACAAAACAAAAAAAAACATTTAACGGCCAGAAGAGCATCTGCTGCAGAGAAACCCAGGGGGGAATCTTTTTCAAAGCAGGAATTGGTTAAATTATTTCCTGCTGGCAATTGGCGCTGTCTTTGCATAAATATTTTCCATCAACAATCCCTTTGTAGCTCAGCTTCTCCACCCACCTCTGCCGTTTAGCAAGATTTTCACCGTCTGGTGTTCTGTTTTTCAGCCCACTCGGTTCGGTTGGCTCTCCAGCCTCCCTCCCGTCTGCTTCGCATCCAATGCCTTTTTATTTCCGCACATCCCTCCCCCCCCCCTGGATCTCGGCTCCCACTTGCAGCCCAGATGTTGCAGCTTGCTATTGGGAAGGTCCCAGGCTCTGGGGAGGAACAACGCCAAGGGTGAAGAAGGCACCCCTGCACGTGTGCAGAATGCATTCCTCTGCCCTTTGAAAGAATCCCCCTTTTGTTTAAGAAAAAAATACAAAACGGAGGGGCGTTCTCCAGGAGGGGGAGAGTTGGGTCTTCTGGCAGCCCTTATTTGGTGAGATTATGGAGAAAGTGGGGGGGGGGGGAGAGGCTTGAAAATCTATCTAGCTTTCCTCCAGCGGCCTCCCTGACTGCTTAAGGTTGCATCCTATCCCAAGGGAGGAGAGGAGGAGGAGGAGGAGGAGGAGAGGAGGAGGAGGAGGAGGAGAGGTAGAAGAAGAGGGGGGGAAAGTGGAAGAAGAGGAGGAGAGAAGAAAGAAGAGAAAAGGAGGGAGAGGAAGAAAACGAGGAAAAGAAAAGGAGAGGAGGCGGATGGGTGTAGAAGGAGGAAGGGAAGAGAAGAGAGGAGGAGGAGGAGAGGAGGAAGAAGAGGAGGAGAGAAGGAGGAGAGGAAGAGGGAGGAGGTGGAGGAAAGGAAGAAGAAGGAAGAGAGATGGTGGAGAGAGGAGGAGGAGGAGGAGAAAAGTTTGAAAGGAATTCTCAAGCACTCTGAGAACAATCAGAAAGACAAAAGCCCCTTTGAGAAAGGCTCCAACTTGGATTTTGCTGCAGTGTTAAAATAGACAACTTTGCTTACATTTCTTTGGGAAAATGCCCTTTGGGGGGTGCTCCAGTCACAATGCATTAATGGTGTGTGTGTGTGTGTGTGTGTGTGTGTGTGTGTGTGTGTGTGTGGAGTGGGGGAAGAGAATGGACAGAATGCAAGCATTTTAATGCAGTCGGAATCCACTACAGGCAATTACTTAAAATGCAAGTCATTTTTTTTTAAAAAAAAAAGCATCCACATGCTCGGAATCCACATATGTTCATTATTACAAACAGAGACAAATGTTTTGGTTCCTTTCACCTTTTTGACATTAAATCCATCCTGTTTCCTCATCGGAAACTGTTCTTGGTTTTAATTAAAGGTCCTGCATGACAACCTGCAGAAATTTCCATGCGACGTAATTTTTTTCACACTTGTTTTTGCACACATTTTTCTTTCCCCATATATCCCACGCTGGCATTCATTTTTGACTAGCGTATTTTTTTTTCCTGCTTGATGTTGCTGAATGGAAAAAAAAAGGGGGGGGGGAAGGGGGGGAATGGAAGTCCCGAAAGAATTAGGAAACTGACGGAGGAATGAATACTGCATTGAATGATGTGACTTGGGAGATACCTCCCTGCATTCGTGGTGATAACTCATACAGAGACACAATGGAGAGCTTCCCTACATCCTTGCACTCAGAACTGCGACTCCTTCAGAGGCACAACACATAGCTTCCTCATAGGAAGTGGCTTTCCCTACGTTCCTAAATCCAAAACGGTAACTCACACAGAGCCACAACGGGGCAGAGGACATAAAACTGTTGCAATTCCGTCCCTCCTGAGAATTCCTGGACCAAATGGGCTCTTAAGCCTCCCTTCTAATTTATCTCCTTTCCATCTTAGCCGAAGAAGCGTCAAGCCTGGCTTTGCAAAATCCAATCCCTCTGCCTCTCCTTTCCCAGATTCCAGAAACTGCAAAAGAGTCAATTCAATAGACTTTTTAAAATTCCCTACAAACCATTTTTCCCTGCAAAGGAAACCCGAGGATGGGTTGCCCCTTGCAAGAGGCTAATTCCAGAGAAGCACAGCTGATCTACAAAAGAATAACAGTCCAAAATCCAAACTCCGGATTCCTGCTGAAATTTGATTTCCAGCTCAAAGCCAGAAAGGACTTTTTCCTTTTTTGGGGGGGGGGATGGAGTGGGGTGTGGGGTGATCCTCCCTCTCCCAGGCCAAATCCTGCATTGTACTGTTGCCAAACCAGCTGTGCACCCGAGAAGATAAACAAGGCAAGAACTGGGGAAACAAGACATGCCAAGTTCTGTTTCAAAAATAAACTGGATTAAAGGAGGTTTACTCTCACTGGTGAATTTTTTGTTTTTAATTCAAATTTTGGACTTCAGCTTTCACGCATCCATCAAGGTAGAGTTATGTTTCAATTCTGCTAGCCTTGGGGACACCCAAAGTAAGTTATCATACATACATACAATGAAAGGGCTGGAAAGGACTGATATATTTAATAAAAATGATCCTCGTATAGTTGGATTCACACACCATGCTTTGCTTTTCTGGCATTTGGAGAACTACTAGCTGCCTTGCTTAGCCACGGAAATTCTGCCACCACCACCCGCAATTGTGGTCATAAGTCAAGGACTACCTATTCCAGAGGTCTCCAAACTTGGCACCTTTTAATACTTGTGGACTTCAATTCCCAGAATTCTCCAACCAGCTGGCTGGGGAATTCTGGGAGTTGAAGTCCACAAATCTTTAACTTGCCAAGTTTGGGGACCCCTGACCCATGCAGTGGTTTTAACCCTTGGAGAAGCTGCTGTCAATTTGATTGGGCTCTGGCTCTGCGTTCAGGTTTCCTCTGCACACCTCCCTTTTTGTAAAAGCAACTTGCTTTCACCCCCATCAGCTCTTTGTAAAAAAAATAATCAGGGAGATAATTCAAGATAATCATCTCTTTTGGTGGGGCTTCAAAGTGCAGTTTGGGAGGCGGTGTTTGCAATTTGGGTAGATAGGTGTACAAGGGCAGCGGATGGACCACCCAGGAGGAAAATAAATTTCTCTGTATTTTCCACGGAACTTAATTTACCCTACCCCCACACCCATTGAGGCTGGAGTTTGCTGGGCTCCAGAAGAATGATTCATCTTTTTTATTTATTTAAACCCGATGTGATTGCCTGATAACGGCAACTGGATATGTTTTGCCTCTGATTTTAGATCAAGGGGTTCCTTTGCAGCTTGTTTGGCTGGTTGGGAGTCTTTAAACAAATACATAATTTGAAAAAGAGACCCTCGCGTTAGGAAGTGGGGTGGTTTCAGGAACAAGAGGGAAAATAACAAAGTGGTAGGGCCCCCAGAGCCTGGGATTAACCTTTTCTCAAGAGTATAATAATAATAATAATAATTTCTACATGCATAATAATTTCCACATGCAGGGATTTTTTGAAAAAAAAACCCAGCATTCAGATACATCATTTATTGAATGAGGCAGAATGAGATAAAGGATGCATCTGAATGAGGGTTTTTTTTAAATAAAAAAAATCCCTGCATGTAGAAAACTAGCACAATAAACCTCACAAGTAGAAATCTAGCACAAAAGAACGCAAGTTGCTTTTAGAACTTTTTCAGATTAATTAGAACTTTCACAGCTTGACAAAGGTGGGTATCCCCCCACCCAAAGGGTGCTCTCTTTGGAAGGATGCAAAAGAAATCCAATTTGTTTGGGGTGGGAAACAAGATACTGGTCCCTATTATGCAAGGAGCACCAGTACAGATTAAAACAGCCTTGGAAAGAGGAGGAGAAGGAAGAGAAGGAGGAAGTGGAGAGGAAGGAAGGAAGGAGGAAATATAGAAAGAAGGGTGAAGAGAAAGAAGGAGGAGGAAGAGATAAATAAATAGGAGAAGGGGAGGAAGAGAAGGAGAAGATAAAAGAGAAAGAGAAGCAGAAGGAGGAGATAAAGAGGAGAAGTGGGGAAGGAGGAGGAGGACAAAGAAGAAGAAGGAAGAGATAAATAAACAGAAGGGGAAGAAAAGAATGAGAAGATAGAAGAGAAAGAAGAGGAGAAAGAGAAGGAGAAATAAATAAACAGGAGAAGGGGAAGAAAAGAATGAGAAGATAGAAGAGAAAGGAGAAGGACTAGGAGGAGGGAGAAGAAGAAAAAGAAGAAACTCTCTCTTGCACTGCTCAGAAAGGAAAAATATTTCCTAACAACCAGCGAGTTCAACGCAAGCATCAAAACGCAGCCTTTCCTCAACCAGCCTCAGCCAAATATTATAATGGGGATGGAATCCAGCCCAATTATCTCCCACGGCTAACGAGCGAAGAAGAAACAAGCACCAAAGAAAACCTTAATGAGGCTCTGTGATCTCAAATCCTAGCCCACTGCCCCAGATGGGCTAACCTTCAATTCACACAAGCTGCCAATACCCAGCCCTCTAACTTGGAAAACCACCCCGGGAGCCCAACATTCACGCTGCTTAAGGGAAGACCTTTCCGAGGTGAGCTTAACCCCCGTTTTACGGCTTTTCTCGCCACGGTTGTCAAGTGGATCACTGCGGCCGTTAAATCGGGAAAAACGGCGGGTTAAGTGAATCTGGTTTTTCGTGGGTTTTGCTCGTCAGAAGATCACAAAAGGGGCTTTACTGTTCAGTCAAAATAGACCTGCCCAATTCCTCTGTTTCTCAGCCAGCCAAAGGAGAAACGGCAGATGGGAGGGAGCCTTTTTCCCCTTCACTGCTGTGAGTTTCCCCAAAATGGTAAAAGAACCGAAGCTGGAGCTAAAAAAAACGAGCCTGCTCACTTTTCAAGACCGTCACAATTTTTTATTTTTTCACTCGGCCAAAAGCCTTCAGTCTTCCTGCCCAGGTTGGGAAAAAGGCAAAAATGCCGAGAGGGGAACTGGAAAGAATTATGTTATAACATAAATCGACCACAAAATCTCCAGACCCTTCCTCTAGGGAAGCCCTCAACGTACGACAGGTCGTTGGAAGTTGCAATGCCACAGGGGAAAAAAAGTGAGTTGTGGCTTAGCTTTTCACACTTGCAACCGTTGATTTTGCTTCTCCGAAGCTGTATTTGCATCCCAAGAGCGTGACTCGCTATATAACTGCAGCAAATTCACTTAACAACCATGGCCAAAAAAAAGAGAGAAGGTTGTAAAATTGGCTGCGACTCACTTAACAACTGGCTTGCTTAGCAACAGAAAGTGATGGTGAGATCCGATTGCTGAAAACAAAGTCGGCCCATCAAACTCGGCCAAACAAACTTGTCCTAACCTGGCTAGCTCACCGAAATGCAACTTATTTTGCTTTCTGCAACTTTTGTTTTAGGTTTCTGCAACTCAACGCGAAACCAAGGGAGATGCCTCCAGAGACTGAGAAATCTCGTGCCACAGGAAGGAGGCAGCCAAGCCGAGGGAAAGCCAGAAAACCAGAGGCTGGTAACAAAAGATAGAGGTTGAAAACAACTTGGTTGCATCATCCTGGGAAGGCCAAGTTAATACTAAGCTACTGAGAGAGAGAGAAGGGAGAAGAACAAGAGAAAGAGAAGGGAGAGAGAGAGAGAGAGAAAGGAGAGAGAAAGGGAAGAGATAGAAAGAGGAGAGAGAGAGAGAGACAGAAAGAGAAAGAGGAGAGAGAGAGAGAGAAAGGGAAGAGATAGAGAGAGAGAAAGACAGAAAGAGGAAGAGGAGAGAGAGAAGGGGAAGAAATAAAAAGAGGAGAGAGAGAAAGAGAAAGAGAAGAGAGAGAGAGAAAGAGAAGAGAGAGAAAGAGAATAGAGAGAGAGAAAGAAAGGGAAGAGATAGAAAGAGGAGACAGGGAGAGAGAAAGACAGAAAGAGAAAGAGGAGAGAGAGAAAGGGAAGAGATAGAAAGAGAAGAAAGAAAGAAAGAAAGAAAGAAAGAAAGAAAGGGAAGAGATAAAAAGAGAATAGAAAGAGAAGAGAGAGATGGAAAGAGAAAGAGAGGAGAGACAGAAAGAGAAGAGAGAGAGAAAAGAGGAAGAGAAGAGAGAGAGAAATAAAACTGAGAGAGAGAGCGAGAGAGAGAGAATCAGAAGTAACCACAACAGCAGGAACCCTGTGGATAAACAATGTGCTATTCTGCACCACAATTATGTAAGCTTCGCATCACATGTCCCCAGCCAGGCAAAGAAAAGGGACTTAAGAATTAACACACTTCACAAACACGCACATACACACACCCCATTATTTCGGGCCAGCGACACGTCATTGCAACACCAGGCACGGACGGCGTGGCGTCGAACTCCCAGAAATCCCCGATTTGACGGGTGCCAAGAAAAGGGACGGCCCCACTGGGCTTTCAACAAGCAAAGTCAATGGGTGGGAGAGAGACGGATTCGCTCAATGACCGTGTGATTCCCTTAAGCAAAAAAAAAAAAAAAAAGGTCATAAAATGGGGCACGGCTGACTTAACCACTACAACAGCGGAAAACCTGGTCCCGGTTGCAACCGTTTAACAAGCAGTAATTGTGAGCTGCAAAAGGATCGCGGCCCAAAGAGGGTTTTCAATAAGAGATTGGACGCCCATGTATCTGGAATGGTATTGTATACAGTCTCCTACTTGGACTAGATGACCTCCAAGGTCCCTTCCGACTCTGTTATTCTGTGATTAAAATAGAAGAAAACAAGTTTCTCTCTTTTTGTGTGTGCTTGTCTCTCTCTCTCTCTCTCTCACACACACACACACACACATACACACATATACACACACCCAAACCTTCTTACCTTTTCGACATCTGCTTTCGTGACATTGATGTCCGCGTCCATCTTCTCAAAGTACTGTTGCGCTCGATCTGCCTCTTTGCAATCCCGTTCAAATCGCCGTTTACTCTGACGAGGGAAGGCAGAGACTTAGCCAAGTCCTAAAGAACCTGGCATGGCTACATCATTCTTCGAAGTTAATTGCCTGCTTGGGCATTTTATTTTGATTTTTTAAAAAAGACAGAGTGAGAGCATTTGGGGTCTCGGACTACGTCAATGATTAAGGGCTTGGAGACAACAGCATATGAAGAAGGCTTGCAGGAATTGGGTTTGTCTAGTCTAGTGAAAAGGAGGACTAAGGGGGACAGGAGAGCAGTCTTCCAGTATTTAAGAGGCTTCCCTAAAGAAGAAGGGATCAACTTATTTTCCAAAGCCCCTGAAGACAGGACAAGAAACAATGGATGGAAACTAATCAAGGAGAGAAGCAACCTGGAATTAAAGAGAAACAAATAACCAGTGGAACAGCTTGCCACCAGAAATTGTTTTAATGTTTCAATCTGCGTAGTTTTAATATTTTTATTATTTCCCTATTTGTCTTTTTATAATCTGTAATAAGTCACCCGGAATCCTCTTTTAGGGGAGATGGGCAACATACAATTAAAAAAAAAAAGTTTAATCAATCAATAAAACAGATCATAATTACAACCTTCTCTGGTCAGTTGAAGCCATGGAAAGTAGAAATCAGACCCGTAAACACCCTCATGGTTTCATTTAGCAACCGCTTTGCTTAATCACTGAGTTGTAGGTCCCAGTTGAGATCCCTAAATGAGGATGACCTTTACTCTGGAAGTCATTGGTGGGTGGAACAAGCCAACATCCTTTAGTTAGCAGATAGACTTTTACGAACAACCTAGAACTGTCAAACCTAACATAGGATGGAGTCCCGCACACTTACTGATTCCAGCTGTTTCCAACAGGTTTCTATGTATTGCTGCGCTTTCCGTCCGTCATGAAAATGCTGAAAGGAAGAATTCACAAAGTCTTATTAAAGAAAAAAATATAGGCTGACTGGGTCAAAAGAGACAAATTGAATGCCCTTTTTATGATTGTGGGTTTTTTTACAATTTACAAACATTTTAACGACCGTTCAAAGTTACAGGAGCACTGAAAAAAGCGACTCAGATTTCACAACTACAGACCTTTATCAGGCTTGGAGAGTTGCTAAGCCGATATCTTCCAAATGCCACGCTATAGCAGCAATAACTTGGCAAGAAGATCTTCACCCTAATAAATTGAACTAATTGTCTCCTGCAAAACCCCACTCCTCTTTCCCTCCTCTTTATTCCCTATGGGAGGGGCCATTCATTGTCCACCTGTGCCTTTACTCCCAAGTCGACCCTTGTTCCTTAACTGTTCCCTTCTCCTGGCAGCTCTGTGCATGCGCACACTGGGAACAGGCTCCAGCTGTTCTTCTTCCCCACTGATTTCCGACTCTGAAGGCAGCTGATAACTGTCGGATGGCCCTGGCCCCATCTCTGCCTCTGACACAGAGCCCTCGTCTGAGCCTTCCCCAGACTCCAGGACTGGCCCATGTCCCTCCCCAAGCTCCTCACTGTCCGAGTCTGCTGCCACGTCCTCTGGCCACTGGCGGGCCACAACAGGGATTGAGAATAGCTCCACCTTGACGTTGCCCTCCTTGGAAAGAGGTTGAAGATGTGATGATTATTTCCTACAACAGTCTTGGATCCTTGTAAGATCTATCTCTTGACCTGTCCTACCGTGAAGGTCTGACCCTAGACCTGCCCCCTTGAATCTGACCAGACCACCCATCTTCTCCAGCTACACTGAGCGAAAGTCCTCTACCCGATCCATTAATGTTTCCCCTTCACTCAACCACATAGTCGGCCGTTCTATTTTGAGAGCAACGCCCTTCACGCCACAGAACGAGGAACACCAGAGAGTCATCAAGGCTGGAGAACAACCTTTAATGGACCTCCTGGGCACCTGGCCAGAGAAGGAACACCCTGTGGTGAAGGGTGAAGGAAGTTGCCTTCTGAAGGCCGGGGAGAAAGACTCCAGGGCCATCAGAGGAGACCGTCCCTTCTCCAAACCATCAGGTGCTCATCACGAAGCATCAGGAGATGTTGGCGATGTGACAAACAGCTTTAACCACAAGGTTCTACCAGCCAAGTAGCCACACAGAGGAGATGCTTCTTGTGGTTGCTAGCTCTTCAGAGCGGGCAGCAACTCAACCCAGAGGCACAACCGACACCCTTCACACTCACAACACAAGCAAAGAAGAATCCAGTCACGGACAACGTTAGGGCAAGAGATCCTAGGAGTCATTCCAAGTTCTTGGTTTTTTCCTGCATCACCAGGGCTTGTTATCTTACAATGAGTCCTTGAGTTACAACCACTGTTCACTGAAAAAAGTGACCGATGACCAGTCCCCGTACCTACGACCGTCACAATATCCCCACAGTCACGTGATCAAAATTCAGCATGCATTGATGACGGTTGCAATGGTTGTTGTGACTGTTCGGCATCACCCCGGCACTGGAAGAAGTGACCGATGGGTAGTCCTCATGCCTACGACCATCACAGTATCCCCGTCACAGTCATGTCATCAAAATCTGGGCATTTTAGCAACTGGCTGCTGAATCCTGGGGTCTCACATGACCTTCCCAGCCAGCTTCCACCAAGCAACGTCAACTGGGAAAGCTAGATTCGCTTAACAACCATGTGATTCACTTAATGAAAAGATGCCAAGTCAGGCGCGGCTCACTTAACGGCCACCTTGGCTAAGCAATGGAAACTGTGGAAGCCATAAGCTGTGGACTACCAATTCAATTTGCATTCGCCAGGTCATCTGAGTCGCAAATCTCTTTTGAAGGTCTGTCATTACTTGGAACGGTTGACCGGTCGTAAACCAAGGATTATCCATAGTGATGGGAAAGGATGAAGCACAGGCAGAGGTAACCACTGAGCATGCTAAAATCTCTGCTCCCTTTTCTTTTCAATGCCTTTTGTTAGCATGGAGGCAGACCAATTTATTTCTGCTTTATCTACGTCAATACTGAGACTTCAGCTGCTGAAATGTCAGAGATCTCCGGCTAATTTTGGGCTGAGTTTTAAAACAACAACAACAACAACCCAGCCCTGGGGCAGTGTGAAAATTGCCCACTTACCCACCCACGTGTCTGTGCAAACTCAAGACGGCTGCATTTTGGGGGGGCCTCAAAAACGAGGGGAAAAAAAGAGTTGTTGTTGTTTTTTTGTCCTGGAAAAGCAGAAAAACCTCCAAACAAATCAAACTTGGAGTTTTAATGATCTCTCTCTCTCTCAATTTCCTCCCTCTCCCTCCCTCCCTCCCTCCCCCCCGGCTTTTTCTGCCCCGCATAAGCCGCCCGACATATCAATTCAGATTATAACCAAGAAGTCAGCATTCCCTTTTCCAGCCAAAGTTAATTGCACGTTTGCAAGCCAGCCTTTGCTCCTTGCCAGTCTTCAAAACATTCATTTGTTTCTCTGCATCCTTCGGAGGAAATCACACCGACAATTGGAGCCCTAACGGTGAGACCTCAGCGGGCGACAACCGATGCCTTATTTATATTTTGTGCCAAGGAAACAACAGGACGCTGATGTTTGCAGAAACATCCAACTGGGAATTAAAAAGTCCCGAGAGGAATCACCTGCTTTTCTTCGTTTGCTGGCTCAGGAGATGTTTAGATGGTCTTGTCAAGAAATAAAATGACTGTGCAGCCATGAGGAGCCCTGCATGCTTGTATGTCAAGTTACTAGTCCATAGAGTCCTCTTTGCTTCCTTCCTTCCTTCCTTCCTCCCTCCCTCCCATCTACCTATCTATCCATCCATCCATCCATCCATCCACACACACACGCACGTACACATACATACATCCCTGATTTCGACTTCCTTCCTTCCTTCCTTCCTTCCTTCCTTCCTTCCTTCCCTTCCCTTCCCTTCCTTCCTTCCTTCCTTCCTTCCTTCCTACTGTCCTTCCTTCCTTCCTTCCTTCCTTCCTTCTGTCCTTCCTTCCTTCCTTCCTTCCTTCCTTCCTTCCATCCATCCATCCTTCCTTCCTTCCCTCCCTCCTTTGCTTCCTGTTTCAACCTTTCATCAAACTAAATTTATAACATTGAAACCTGATGGTTAGATTCCCAAAGTCGGGTGACATTTAAATTTATGAAATTAGTATTTCAGCTTTCCAACAGCTGCCCTGGGTTACTGCTACCTTCACTCCATTCAATCCCTTGCAAAGAAACCAGAAAGTTTTAACGGAGAAACGTCCTTACCGATTTTCTTTCCTGCTTGAGTTCTTGTACATAACGGGCTAACTCGGTGGTGATTTGGGAGGTCATGTTCTCTGAAATGACCTCGTGTTGACCGGCGTAATCGTTCATTTCGTTCAAAGTTGCCAAGAAAGCCCGACATGATGAATACCTAAAAGGAGCCAAAATAAAAACACTTAAAAAAACAAACATCATATTACTTTTTGATATGTTGGACCCATTCCATTATTCCTAGGCAGCATGTAGAACATAGAGAATCATAAAGCTAGGAGGGACTTCAGTGGTTCTTCTTGTCCAACCCCTTGACCCCCGTGAAATGACAGGGCTTCCCAAACATTTTCCTTCATTACCAGAATCAGAAAGTCTTATCAAGTTCTGAGGACCTTCTTTCAGCACTGCCGCTGAACAAACAGCCATAACTCAAGGACTATCTGTATTATGAAGACAAGATTAGCAAATGACTTTCTCATTTCCCTGGCTGAAAACCTACGTGTATTCATCCTCTTCTTTGGAGTTCTTTTTGGGCTGGTATTTCTTGGCGAGGTTCCTAAAAATAAAACCAGAAAAAGAGAGAGAGAGAGAGAAGGATTAAATAAATAAATAAATGACGATAAATAGTTTAGCAAGCTTTTTTCTTCTTTAAATGGAAGATCATTTGTTTGGGTTGGTTTGCGTCCGTTTAAGATAAGACTTAATTCTCACGGCCCCCTCGTAGGAAAGCAAAACCATTTTGCAAACACAAAATAAGCAATTGCAAACTTCCAAAAAAATATTCTGGGCTCAAGCACGAACGTGAAGACAAGGACAGCCTGAAGTCCTTGAATTGATGGGTAGAAGCAACTGAAAACCAAGATTAATTTCTTCTACCCAGCCTCTCGGAAATGCCTCCTTGTGCTTTTTCAAGGGAAAACTTCAAATTGTTCCCCAAAATAAAGAGAAATGGATTTCTCTCCGAGGGGGCAGCCTGCTAAATTTGGAACTTGGGTGAAGTTGCTTCGTCAATGAGGCAATCAGCGTGTCCTAATGATGAAACATTTTACAAGGGGAGACTTCAATCAGACACCCAGGCCTGAAGTTAAGTCTTATTTCTGTATCGGCCATAAACTATGCTGAAAGTGGAATGGGTCAAGTTGGGGATAAAATGCATAAAACAAATGGCAAACTAATGAAGCAAAATTTCTTCTCCGTTCCCATTCAGGAGTTACTTGCAGGAGACAGGATAAGTTGAAGGGCAAATAAACAAGCAGGATTTTGTTTTTGTTTTTTTTGAAAAAGTTTTATTATTTTTTAGACAAACAAACAAACACAACATAAAAACATCAAGCCATCTTCCACATATGTACATACAGTGTGTCGGTTGGTTTACAAATTGTTTTGTGCCTCCACTTCATAGTCATCACTTACAATTCCTTGTATATGTTCTCATATTATCTATCAAATATTCCTAAATACATTGATATCATTATTACTCAATCATTTGGCTATACTATTATTCATTCATGTTTTGCAAGATAATCCATATTTTAACTGATTTATTTTATGACAATTCATATTATCACCCCAAATCTATCCTATAATTATATTACGATTATGCTAAAAATAATACATCTTTATATATTCTTTATATTCTAAAAACCTACATATTTCATTACCATGTTTTATTGTCTAACCATTGATAAAGTAACTCCCAAATCTTATAAACAGGATTTTGGATAGAAAATAATCAGCCCGCAGAAGGTTTTTGAATTTTAAGGATTGCTGGGGGCCAAAATATCTAGAAGAAAACCATGTTTTGTCCAGTAAATCCTAAATCTGAAACTCAGAAACGGTTAACCAAAAAATTAAAACAAGCTTTGCCCAGTTTAGGTTGCTTTAAATCCACAAATCTCTGCCATTAAACATGGTTCAAAACATACTTAGCAATACAGGTAGTTCTACAAGGATTACACACTTCGGACTCACCTAAGCTGCTTTGCATAATTGATCTCAATTTCAGTCCGGTCTTTGACGAATTTGATATATTTTTCCAGAATGTCGATACCCCACTGGGTGTGTTTTTCGAGGGTGTCAAATTGATCCTGCAGAGGAAGACAGAATGACAAAGTTGGAAGGGACCTTTGAGGTCTTCTAGTCCCGTCTCCCCCACCGCTCAGGAAAAAAAAGAGACAGAGAAATATTTAATTGGCCACTTGGAACAAGCGTGAAGGAAGATTAATCATGCTATTCATCCTTTTCAAAGAAACATTTTTTTTTTAAAGTCTTCTTCTCGTGAAGTTATCAGACCTTAACGATGAGTAATTTGGAAGGAAAAGCTTCTGTGGTTAGGTCTCACCTTTGTCATGTTCATGACAAAGGAATAAAACAGCACCAGCTGAGAGACATAACCTTTTGGCTCACCAATTTTCCCCCAGTAATCAGGCCGATATTGTCAAGAAATGGGCAACTCTGAAGAAAAACTTATTGTCACTCAAATGCCAGGAAAAATATCTATGTGAATTTGCAGGCAAAATCTGCTTTACATAACACTAATTGGCCCCTAACCCCATGTTAATTCTCTTAATTAAGCAGAAAGCTATGACTATTCGGTACTTAAATATTGGTTCTAGTGGAATATTTCTCTAGGTTAGAAACCAGGAGACTGGGAGTTCTAGTCCCGCCTTAGGCATGAAAGTCGACTGGGTGATTTTGAGCCTATCATCAGGAGACGGTGAGTTCTAGTTCACCCTAGCTAGGTGACCCAAGGTGCTTATTACTAATTGGTAATAATAATAATAACTTTGCTTTCTTTTGCCAGAGTCATCCTATTATGATTTGCAGATTTGTATTTTTTTATTATTATAATAATTATTATATTTCCAGGTGTTGCTAAGAAAGAGGCAGGAAAGGGATTTTATGGGTGATCTTTGCTTGCCTGACCTAAATTTTAGATTAAGATTTGCTACAGAATCTCTCTACCTTGAAGAACTCAAGAGATTTTTTTTTTAATTAACTTCATTTGGTCGGTGTAAGTGAATTGCGCCGACCAAATGAAGTTAATTAAAAGTTAACTTTAATTCCTAAAATAAGGCAGCCTTAGCTTTCTTTAAAAAATATAAGAGGAATGAGAAGTTTTTCAGCACCCCAGTATGAGCCCTGTTTGGTTATTGTTCTTCATTCGGTGTATTCCAAATTCATTTTTAAAAAATTTCTGTGCTGTTTTGGCTTCTACTGAAGATAAAAACAGTGTTATTTACTTATAATACAAAACTAACTAACTAAGCAAAACCAATCAATTTTCAAAGAAAACAAGATGTCAAATCAGCACAATGGGACCAAAAGAAGAAGTAACGCTAGTTCCTGTTTACAAATATACAACCCTGGAAACAAAGTTTTAAGATTTTAAACATAAACTTTCTTGCAAGGAGCTGGAACAGTTACAACTTTTAAAGTTAATTTGAGTGATATTTTTTTTCCTTTTGGTTACTAAGTTTCTGTTTAAGTAAGGAGGTGTTAGAAAGACAGAAAATGGAGGAGAAAAAAAAGGAATTAAGTAGAATATGTTCCCCACAGGAAAGTCCGCTACAGAGTTTTTTTTAAAAAAAAGATTATTATTTTTTTTTTAAAAAAATACAAATTACATGCATTGTCTTTATAAAGCTCGTTATCTGATGACATCTCTCTTCTTGAAAGTGTGCAAATTTTGATGATTTAATAAAACTACAATACAGCTGAACGTCGACTTACGATTGCAATCAAGAGCCCAAAGTCACCCAGCTGGCTTTCATGCCTAAGACAGGACCAGAACTCTCAGTCTCCTGGTGATTGGCGTAAGGTTACCCAACCAGCTTTCATGGCTAAGGTGGTACTAGATTTTCCAGTCTCCTGGTGATTGGCCCAAAGTCACCCAGCTGGCTTTCATGCCCAAGATACAACTAGAACTCACCATCTCCTGCTGAATACTCAGTTATCCATCTCGCTTTTATGCCTAAAGTGAGACTAGAACTCCCAGTCTCCTGGTGATTCACTCAACGTCACCTAGCCGGCTTTGATGTCTAAGACAGGACTAGAACTCACCTTCTCCTGGTTTCTTCTGGTGCCCCCTCCACTTGACCAAAGTGTCTCTCTTTCTAGATTTCCCCAGAACCCTTCAAACTCTTTTTTTTTGGATAACTAGAGAAGCACCAGAAATGGTCATTTTTCCAACAGAAGATTTGAAGAAAAGAATTTGGAAGCCATGTTAACCTACCCAATCCTAAATGGACATTTCAACTTTCAGTTGTCAGGATCAAAAGTTCAAAACTAGATGATGAGCAAGAGAAGGGCAAGAAAATTGGCTCTGATATTTTGGATATTCTGCATTTTGTCAAGTCACAGACAGGGTGGTGAGCAAAGTGCTAATCAGCCAGACACAAGAGCCACCTCGTTAATCTTGCATAAGCTCCCAAAATGTTCTTCATGTAGCTAGAGATGCCGTTTGGAATTGAGCAACTTTAAGTCTTAAAAAGAGACAAATATAATTATCTCTGTTAAAAGGTGGGCTCTTCTATATCAACCTTAGAGTTCAAAGGAAGAAATTTATTACCGGAAAGAAAGATCCAGGGATGTTTTCTTACAGAGTTTTCCTCCTTGTCACTCACCTGCATCATTCTGCAGTAGGGAGCATAGAAATGCATCGAAAGAAGTCAGAATTTTTATACCATAACCCACAGCTCTGAGCCGAAGGCATCAAAGCTGTGCTTAATTTTGTGCCTTCTTCCTTTCTCTCGTGTTTCTATTTCTTCCTTCCTTCCTCATCTTTGTCTTCTTCCTTTCATCTCTTCTTTTAACTTTTTCTTGCTCCATTCCTTCTCTTATTTTTCTTTCTTTCCTTCCTTTGCTCATCTTTTTCTCCTTCCTTCTTCCCTTCTTATTCCTTCCTTCTTTCATTCATCTTTCTTTCTCCTTCCATCTTCCCTTCCCTTCTTCTTATTACTTCCTTCCCTCATCTTTCTATTTCTATTTCTTACTTTTATCCTTTTCCTTTTCCTTTCTGTCATGTTTCTATTTCTCTTTCCCTCCTTCCTTCCTTCCTTCCTTCCTTCCTTCCTTCCTTCCTTCCTTCC